ACGTCTGTTTTGTTGTATCCGGAACCGTACTTAATGCTGAGGTCACATTTCCAAACCGGGGCCCGGCCGGGCAGTCTTATTGAATGAAAAGTACGATATAAGAGACAAGGAAACAAGGAAACGTTTTCTATGATAATCATGGGCACTATTTCTGTATATTATTGATATGAATTGTTAGTTTTTCGTTCATACAAACAGCCCGGCCTGGCCCCGGTTTGAAAATGTGACCTAGGCATTTTTCAGAGAACCATGCTCAGGCGTGGTTCTGGGTAGTCCACGCGTATCCAGAACCGTACTTTATTCAGAACCGTGCTCAGGCGCGGTTTTGGATAGTCCACGCATAGCTCTGGGGCTGGGGCAATTTTTTTTTTTACGTTTTTTGATACGCAAAGACTACCCAGAACCTTGCACGGTTCTAACCATGATCTATTCAGGCATTATAGAATACCTAGATAGGCACGGTTCCGCGTAAATCTAGGGCAAATATAGGTACGTTCTACAGAGACTATCCAGAACCGTGCCTGGTGCAAATCTACGTTCTATAGAGACTATCCAGAACCATGCCTGGTCCTAACCATGATCCATTAGACCCAGACAGGCACGGTTCAGGATATGATGGCTTCCATTATCCAACAACAGACTGCAGAAGTATATGATATTCATCTCCCACCTCATTAACGAAGGTCGGGCAATCCATTCACCGCAAACAGATGCGCCGTTTGCGTTACGGTATGAACTACGGTACGACTGCTCTTTTTCTCGGTTAATGCTCCCCGGGGACACGTTAGCGCTGTTGTTTTGCGGGAACAGGGCCATTAAGAACAGATTTACAGCCTTAGATGTTGTCATCGAACACCGCAGAGGTTCGGTGCGGTGCACGAAGAAGGCATAACCAGTACGTCAATGAAGTGTCGCATTAGGAAATGGAGTCTCCTGACACCACGCTTCAAGCCTCCTCATCCCTACTCTTCAAGCAGATCGCTTGGTGACTAAAATATAATATCATATTGGGAAGACAGTACCAAATAGGCAAGGCAGTATCAATTGGCTGGCGTAAAAAGAAGAAACTCCAATAAACGCCTAAAAGCTCGTCCAGAATAAGCTTAGTCCTAAACCTCTGCTTGGAGAGTTGCTCATCTGCTCAGCCGACACAAAACGTACCGGGAAGATGGACGGGCGGATTACAGGCAGCTATTTGCCGCCAACCGCAGGTTTACTATCAATTTGGAGCTCAACTATTAATCACACTCAATTTCTTTTTGTCTCATTCGGCCGGGTTCAATGACATAAGAATGAGAATGAGAATGAGAAGAATACAACTGAGAAGCTATCAATTTGGAGTTCAGCGATTAATCACACTCAATTTCTTTTTGTCTCATTCGGGTTCAATGACATGGGGATGAGAATGAGAAGAATAAAAATGAGAAGCTATATTTTTTTGATGGAAGGACAACCATACAAAACAGACCATACGGTACTTGACCCTTAAGATTAAGGATACATGTCATATCACGTAGCCAGACACATATTTTAATTCTGGTGTGTCGTTTGAGAGTTGAGATCCACTGTTTTAATAACCATTTCATGAGTCTATATACATGTAGTTTTAGGGACAAAAATTTTTGCTAAATTTTTAATTCATTTGATTTGATCTATTGAAATTGCAACAGTGCAATACACGCGGAACAAAAGAATACTGGACTGACAATACTCATTTTCACTTGAGTCTAGTGGGGAAAGTCGTGTAAAGTGCCCTTCCCAAGGGCACAAGATCGGTGGCATGTCAGGACTCGAACCCGGGACCCATTCATTCCGAGTCGCGCACGCTGCCGTTGCGCCACACGACTCCACGAGATACTTACCGTATCACATTTTTAATTGATGAAGGCGTAATGAAGATCTCTCAAGAAATAACAAGAAAATTGATGCTACGTCTCACCTTTAGATGGCCTTGACCGGCTGCATCTTGCGAGGCCCTCAGCTGGAGAAAAAAAAACAAAATTCAAACTATGGAAAACTTTCCCACAATTAAGGTATATAATGTTCCCACTGCATGCAGGAAAGTTAAGCATGATTGATGGTATTCCTATAAATTAGACATGAATATTTGAATATAGTTTTTTTTTATTTACTTCATCGGTCACCACAAAACAAGGCTCATGGGAGCCACTTAAATGTTTTGGGTTACAGAACAGCCAGAGAGGACAGATGTTTGTTGACCTTAGACTTGAAGAGTTTAAGGTTATACTCATAGGGGAAGCAATCACGAGGTAGCTTATTAAAAAAGTTGGAAATTGGTGACTTTTATGTGCATTAAATGCTCCAATTGTACAGCCTCTTTGGGAACATCTTAATCAAATGTGCATGACTGTGCGTATCTTTACTTGAGCTTCAAACTAGATTTTTTAAAAAAGTACCCTACACAAACACACCTGCTGTTTCATGTTATATTTTAGATGGCAGCATGTCATTCTAAACAATGCCACCTGGAGACTGTACTCCACATTGCAAATCTACCATCATTGATATCATATTGCAATGCCGTTCAGTTACCAGCTTCATTTTGCACATCAACTAGTTTTAGTCTTTACCCCCACTAAAGAGATGGGGTGATTAATTATCATATAGGAACCTGAAATATATAGAATATTGCTTATTTGTGTTTTATATAAATTATGCACCCTATCGTGCAAATGGATATCCCAAGGCGTTTTAAACCATCATATATGCAAATGTGAAAGCTGTTTAAGAATGTTTGCCCTAGGCGACTTTTCGTGGCTGTTGCTTTTTAGAAGCTTTGCATGGTCATGTATGAATAACAAAACCTTTTTTAAATTCAAAACCTTGACCTTGGTTGAAGTACTGATGAGCTTTCTGACTAATTTGCATCATCTTGTCTTTACTTGTCTGACTTTTCTTCCCTTGTCGACTTCCAAAAAATGTCTTCACTTTATTTGCATATCCATAAATAGTTTGTGCTTATAAACCTGCATTTCACCTCTGGTCTCTCAGTCACTGACGAAAGCTAGTGGATGCTAGCTGAAACGTCTGATCATTTCCAAAATCATATCCAGTTGCTTGAGTAACTGCTTTTTGGCGTATCGTATTACCTGGATGTCTAACCTTCATCGACGTACTGATGACTATCTCACGGAACTTTTTTAATTAAGGAAGTTCTTAATTAGTCTGGCGAAGACTGAAGCAACGGTGCTGATTTGAAAATCGCTTACGTTGTAGGAAGAAAAACAAAGTCATAAACATACACTCAGTAAATACACTATATGGTCTATATACATTATAGGTGGGAAAATTTGATTCCAACCTTAATGATATGAATCTTTATTGCATGTTCTTGCCCAGATGGGCTAAATGCACAAGAGGACATGCAGCATGCAAAACATGAGTATTGCATACTGGAACGCTGTATTCTAAATGCTAATTGCTAGGAATCTATACATTACAACAATACTATATACTACCTATCATCTACTGTTAGTTGCCATTTCTTCTCTCTTTTTGAAACATTTGGAAACATAATTACATAGTTTGAAAATGTAACCATGATCCTTATAACTCGTCTGCATTTTTGCTGTCCCCCGAGACACGTACGCTAGTATCGGCATGTGTGTAAAACCGATCTACAGTGTCTCGTTGCCTGTGCCGCTGCCATCATGTCATTCATTTTACAGCCGGGATCCCATCCATTACCCCGGTAACGGCAGAGTTCACTAATATCAAGGCCATTTGTCAACGTTTTAGCGTGATTTGGGTTCGGCTGACGGCCGGGAGCCGCGAAATTGGATTGCCTGTTGCCGCTGTAATTAAGACTTTAATATCCACTGATTAGGTCCAAACGGGAGAATTACGCTGCGGAAGATCGAACGATGGGACTGAGTGAGTGTGAGGCGCGCCTGATGAGGGCTCTATCCGCGGGGAACCTTTCACACCGCGCCTTTCACCGGCCCTGTCAGCGTCTACTTCTGCCTGATCCGAAACGTTTGATCAATTTTTACATTACCGCGAGGGTCAATCCTAGGAGTTTCGACGTGACGTTGACAAAAGTTTGTCCCGAAATGCACCCCATAATGAGGTGACAGCTGCGTTTTACACCGTACATCTGCAATTGATTTATTTGCAAACCCATGTCCGAAGGTACACAGAATGTAAAGAGGTGAGAAAATGACTATCATATAGATCTATCTGGTATTTCTGCGTACATTACTGGGCCGGGGTGAATTATTTTTAGAGCAGTTGCTAATGAATAGTACAGCGTTTTAATGATAAGCTACTTTTGTAATTTAGTAGGGATGTATTTTTAAGGTTTTCTAGATGAAGAAAGATCGATGAGAAATTATCATGATAACTACTTCAAAACGTCTGTTTCTTCGAGTATCATAATGATCTATTTACAAATTAAATGTGTCTCAGTTTCTACTGCACACATTGTACAATACACCTACTCGCAATCTCTACTGAACCGGTATAGCTTTTTTAGCGACAAGATATATCATACTGGAATCTCCCATCCCTGAAATTTCTGCCGCACCTTTACTGAACAATGGCTAATGAATAGTGCAACGGAAGACATTTATTGTAAATTTGTAAGTTAATAAGAAGCTAGTTTTGTGATTTTTAAGGTTTTGTAGATAAAGAAAGTTCGGTAATAAATTGTGGCAACTATTAACAAAATGCTGAGTCTTCCAGTCTCATGATTACAAATGAAACTATTCTTATTTTCATTTTCCCCCGCACCCTTTGTACAATACATGTACTTGCACAGTCTCCACTGAACCGGTATAGCTTTTATAGCGACATGATGCATCATACTGGAATCTCCCATCCCTGAAATTCCTGCCGCACCTCTCCTGAACTCGGCGCTTTACTGCACGATGATAGATTTCCGCCACCGTCTGAGTTATAACGATGGTGCCGAGTCTGGATATCGTTATCCCTCATTGCGCCTGGAATAGTCTAGAAAATTCTTCATGGGCAAAAACGATCTCGACTGAAGGAAGATTCGACCAGAAAACCTTTTAGGTTGCAAGAGGAGCCCATAAATACTAGTTAGATAGTCCGAGAAACTTTCAACGGCAATTTGGAGATAAAAGCCGTTAAAGATTTCGAGTAATATGTTTCAGATACGGCCTTTGTCATGTTCCAGACATTTTCACACATTTTCACGTCGGTGAAGGTTAGACATCCAGGTAATAAGATACGCAAAAAAGACAGTGACTCAAGCAACTGGATATGATTTTGGAAACGGTCAGACGTTTCAGGTAGCATCCACTACCTTTCGTCTGTGACACTGAAGACTTGTCAGAAAGGCAGGTTTATAAGCACGAACTATTGATTGATATGCAAATAAGTGAAGACAAACTTTTTGGAAGTCAAAAAGAAAACCAAAGTTAAGACAAAGATGATGCAAATTATTCAAATAGCTCCTGCTGTTTCAGAACAGGTTTCAAAATATTCCTTGGACACTGGTCGGCAGTTGCTTCTGGCAGCCCTCTCTAAATATCTAAGGCATCAACATCGTCGTACTATCATCCTACAATCTCAGACTGAGTCCATTCTTGGTAAAGTCGTGTGTGTGTCCAGCAATATTCAGGTGAAAAGGGCTGCCTTAGATCCTTGTCATGTGGTTGCTTCTGACACAGGAAGGAAGGAAGGAAGGTCTCCCGTGCCCTTATTCAGAGCGTATGGTGGTGCCCATCTCCATTTCTGTAGCCATTGGGCGACACACAGTTGTGCAAGGCACTACAGCAGGGGGCTAGTCCGCTGGTAGTGCCGTGTGTTTGACCTTCCCACACTCTTTCTCATATGTGCTGAGTGCTAAGCAGAGAAAGAAGTGTGTGCAATTTATAGTCTGACCCGGGTGGGTGTAGAGCTACACCCACCCAGGAAGTGATCAAGCTGATCACCACAGCTCCAGATCCAACTTGGAGGCGCCCTAGAGGCGGTCCCAGGAGCAGATGGGAGGACCAGGTTTCCAACGTGCTGGACAGTTTAGGGGTCAGCAGAACTGACTGGAGAGCGCTGGCAGAAAACAGAACATCCTGGAGGGACATGTCTGCAGCCGCCATGCATCTGCCCTGATGCTTGCGGCTTGATGATTGTATGCCCCGGCCGGGGTTTGAACAGCACTCTAACAGTTGAGCTATTGCACCGGTTCTGACATAGTATGCTTGAAAATTCTACGGCATCAAAATCGTACAACGACCTTCGCCGAATGTGACCGTACACCGTAACGTAACAAACGCGATACCCCCGAGCTTGACACCGCGACCTGGTTGTATAAAGACCGCCAGTGGGGGAATATCCTATACATTTCGTGGCTTACCGAACTGGAAAACGCTATACGACTTAATCGCATCGGAATTTGATATGTCACTTATTAGCTGTAAACTAGATGGGACTGTGAAAGATACGTACAGGGGTGACCAGGGGAATGGGCACATAAACATTCATTGGTGTTTAGGGTGAATTAGACAAATCCCATGTATACATGTAGGACACGTATTTTTATAAGACCAAGGCCGTGGAGGGCACATGCACACATCTCCATATGAAGAAGAACTTTATTGAACGATGGTACAATGTATGGCAAACTACATAAAGAGAGTAACAAACAATAAAATAAATGTGTTGAATAAGACCTAATGCCAAATAAAACCTAACATATCTACATCATAATTATTCAAATAATAAGGGATATCACAGGTCTTTGATAAAGTGTTGCAATCGAGTGGGCTAATCACAAGTTTCGGTATTTTTTTTAGTAGCAAAGCATTCCTTTATATGTCTACCTATTTTTGAGATGTGGGGACCATTACATGTAAAGATATATTCAAATCTGTCTCCAACTTTGAGACTCTTGAAATCTATTGTACCTGATTCGAGAAATGTGAATAGCTTGTTACGTAACATATATTTGGTACATTCCATATATTAGCTTCGGCAACTGTCAAGCAACTTCACAAC